ATCCATCCATACATCCATACATCATACATCCATACATCCATCCATACATCCATACATCCATCCATCCATCCATCCATCCATCCATCCATCCATCCATCCATACTAAAATGAAAGCTGTATAAATCGTGTAAGGTACTGACTGCTCAGAAGAACTCCACAGTTGCTGCTACGTCAGAGGAAATTTAAGCCATCTCTTAAAGATAACGAGTTAAAGGTCATTTTTCTGATGTGCTGACTCACCAGCTGCTAGGCCACTTCTAAAATCAACCATGCATCTCAATGAGTCCAATCAATGTGTTTTCAGCTCATTCCCAGAGCCTGAAAAATCGTGTCCAGACAAACATTGAATGAGAGCATTTAGATATCTGTGTTGCTTTTTAGTCACAATGCTTTCAATCTGGAAAGTTACTCACAAGAGGAATCGTCATAAACGTCCATCTGTGACATTTCCTCACATTACAGCAGGTTAAATCTGCAGCTCAGCGTTCAGATGTCCTGTCTGTCCTGCTGTGCTCAACCTTCTCTCGTCCAATTTCTCCTTGTTTATTCATTATACAGTTGATCTCAGGATTCAAATTGACTTGTGGGATTGATTTGGCAACACCTTCCCTTTCATTTCCATGCCCCGCTCCTCCATTTTCCCTCCCTCCAAAGACTTTTGATTAAACTAGAAGCCTGCTTTGAGCTATTAAGGAAAGCAGGTAATTCAAATGTAAGGACAGATAAGAGAGGAGAAGAATAAGCTTAAAAAGAGATACAGTTATGAGAACCATGTGATAAGTACATTTCTTTTCATTGGGGTAAGAAAATACCTCATATAAAATGTAATGAAAATTGTATTATGGTGGTCATTTATTATATGAGTGACAACATTTTAATGAATTGTGATGTAGGCAGAGGTTTTCTGTAATTTAAATACAGTATTTCATACTGAGCTCATGACATTTATGTCTTAAATACACAAATCCTTTGTGTTAAAATCCAACAAATTGTAAGTTAGACTTGGCAACAAAATCCCATTTATATAAGTAGTTTCATTTAGGAACTGTAAGCTAGTTAGCTGCAGATGCTAAAGTCTGTTTGGGGGTAAGATAATTGTCTCTTTTCAGATCTGAAAACATATTTTATTGGTTTGGAGAAGTTACCATCTAATCTGCTTGAATCAAGATATCTGCAGATGGCAACAATAAGTCTTCCAAAATTATACTTTGTCTCTTTACGACTTTGATTTTAAAGTTATGTTTTTTGAAAGAGTCGCACAATCCAAGTATCAATTAGCTGAGAAAAAGTAAGTCTTTAATTTTTGTTTACAAAACTGAGCTTGTTAGCTTCAGATGCTAACAGTAAAACATGTTTTAAACAATTAACTGTTTGCAAGTTTAGACCATAACTCTAGTTTTGAAAGAGTTACAAAACTCAAACACCTAATCGGTTGAGAAGTGATGCTTTCTTTGGTGTTCATTTCTTAAACACCAAAGATTTGAAGCTACTTAGCTTCATATGCTAACGGTAAACCAGTTGTGAAGACTTATTTCTTTAAAAATGTGATGATACAAATAATAATCTAATCTACTTAAGAGTTGTGGCTCTTGAAAAGTAATAATTTTTAAAATTTTACTTGAAATGGTAAGCTAGTTAGCTCCAGAAGCTAGCAGTAAACCTTTAAAGACAAATATTTTCTTTCTTTAAAGATTTTATTAGGTAGCTCCTTAGTTTGTTAAAGGTTTCTTCATAAATTGGTAAAAATAATCTTAATAAATAATGTATTTACATTTTACAACCATAAACTTGTTAGCTCCAGATGCTAATTAGTAACTTTTCTTGTCCTTTGTATTCTTTTTGATGTGTTTCTTTAGTTGGAAACATTTTGGTTAGAAGTATAATCCATGCTGATCATTTCAATAAAGAGGCTGGCACAACAGTATCTTGTTACATGGGGATTTTTATGTGTTTGTGCACTTTGTGAAGTCACCGAGTAGGGAGAGTAAGAATGAGAGAGGACTGGAACAAAGTAAAAGACGTTTTGTGTGTGCATGCATGTGTGTGAATTCCTGATCTATTTGTCATCCCGGCTGCACTCTTTGGTGACACCTTGTTCATTTGCGAAACCCGTTGTTTGAGATGCAGGGATCGATCGAGCAAATAGAAGAGTGGAACCCTGGAGATAAAGAGAAGGAAGGTAGAGAGAGAAAAGGTGCAGATTTATGGTCAGGCTTTATTACCAATATTTCAACCTTAAAACTGGGCACTCATCACTATCTGGGCTGACAGGACTGGAGACTACAGGAAAACTTCACAAACATCCTTACAAACATCACCAAATTAACCAACATTAGCCATAAAATGAACCTGAAAGTTTCTGTTAAAGCCAATATTCCTGCAGTTTAAATTGAAAACTTTTCTGATATTCAGAACTGACAACTTTACTGGACAGTCTCATAACTCAGCTTTCAACTGTAACCTTCCCAGAAGCTTTAGATTTACGGCTGATGAGGTTTTAACAACATAACTAGGTTTTCATTTACAGATGGATATTACAGACTCTTCCATTAGAGAGTAACTAAGCTAATCGATAAAGTGCTTTCTGTTGATTAAGACCATGAAATGTGTAAGAGAGCTTCTGAAGAAATAGACTTTCAAATTTCCCTTGAGTCCGTTTTAAAAATTCTAACTTGTGAATAGATAAGTGACCCCTTTCGTTCACGTCTTTTTTTCTTTGCTGAGAGGTAAATAAGAAAAAAGAGACAAATACTCAGCTGTGGAAACCCACATAAAAACACAGCAGGTGGTAAAAGCAATTTTCTCAAAATAGAAACCTGACAGTTGGCCCCCATGCCACCAGGGGGCCTCCAAGAGCAAACCATATATATATGTTATATATGTTTATGATCTGCTTTTGCAATTTTTTAATGTTTTTATTTTTATTCATTTTTGCCTATGGACTTACTTATGTCGGCAGCATCATCCAACGAAGTGAATGATTAGGCCTGTTGCGAGATTCGACAAATCATTCCCTATATCAAAGGTCTCTTCATGGGTATTTAATTCAAAGGGCGTCTTCAAATCCAAACTACTCAGACTCAACTGTCTCCGAGACTCAACTCTCTCAGAGCAAACCTCCCCAGCAGGGGAGGTTTGCTCTGAGAGAGCAAACTTCTCTCTTTTCAAGCCTTCTATTGCAGAAGGCTTGAAAAGAAATTCATTAAAAGCATCGTAATCATAGAAAGTGCTCTCATCCTGCAAGCTATTTTTGTCTACCTCCCCAGCCGGGGAGGTTTGCTTCTGTTTTGAAGGATTAAAAAGAAAATCGTGGAAAGCATCGTATTCGCTCGTATCCTGCGATCTAACACTTGGTGGAAGGAGCTTTACTATTTTCTTTTTTTTTTATGCTTGACTGATAAACATTTCCTGATTTGTAAAGCAGATACTAACTATAACATTGCGAGACGCTCAGTATTTCTCACTTTAACACAGCTTGGTGAAAAGTTCTCATAAAATTCCTTTACAACTTCATTCTTGCAAAAGAGTATCGATGTAAGCAAGTAACTGTAATGTGAAAGTCAGGAAATAGACTTAGCTTTTTTACTGTGAATGGAAACTGTTATGCACTTTTCTTCACTAGCTGAAATATAAACATTGTTATTAAACATTTTGCAGAAAAATTTTAAAATGTAATATATTTTTTGAAAAAAGTAAACTTAAGTAGCTGACAGGTTGCCAGTGTTTATGGTTGTAAAAAAAATTACTGTTAAATGTGAAAATGCACATAAAGGTGAATCATTTGCACATTTTCTCTGTTGAGTATCTCACAAACTGAGCAGTTCTTCATTAAATGATAATGACTGAGTTAATAAACTCAAATTGGAAATTGTTTTGGGACTTAAAACAATAAAATGAGCAACAGCCTTTTGTTTTTCTGATAATCAAATCAAAGAACACTGGTTTGTCAAGATGAATGATTGAATATTATCAGATTCTCATTAGTATTTTGATTAAAAATTAATTTTAAATAAAGCATAAAATCCCTAACAGTTAAACGGACCAGTTTGAATAGTTTCTAATATATTATTTAGAGTATTTTGTGTTTTATTTATGTGGATTATGACTATAAAACATGTGCAGGTCCATCCTGATCCAGGAAATAGTCTTTCTCAGTTCCTGGAGTTAGACGTTTTCTTTGCAGCCAGAAAACGTGGAAGAGAAAAGTGCAGCAGCACAGCATCAAACTTTTTATCTGTCTAATTTTTATTGTGATGTGTTTTATGGTGGACTCTGGTCGTCATGGCATTATGACAGAGCAGCTGGAGGCTGTAAATGTCAACATCACTCAGCCGGCTGTGTCACTTCCTGTTAGGAGCGCCTTCAGAGGACTTGAGCTCTGCAGATGTGAAAATAACAAAGATCGTCGACCACAAATGTGTCATCATGGCTTCTCAGATAGATGCTAACGTTTCGAAAATCCAGAGCAAAATTTAATGAAAGAAACGATAATTAATGTCAAACACAAGTAAAGTGTCTGAACGCATAAAAAGGGCAATTGCTGTCGTCTTTTATTGTGACATTTTGTTGAATTTTTCAGCTCTTTTCTCTCGTGTTGTGGTCTGTTCTGTAAGGATGTGTGACTGCTACGATGGCTGGTAGTTTCCTGGATGTTTTTTCTTTCTTCTGATTGAATTTTGGGGTTTATCTGTGGAGCTGTAATAAATCCAGGCTTCCTGAAGAGGGATCCAGTAAACTGAATCACCGACTCTGTTTAACTGTGTCAGTAAAGATACAATCAGTTTTCAGCAAACTCACACGATGTCACTTTGTAATTTATTGAGTTTGTAAAGCTTCGGCTGAATTATCTCTGCAACGGCCGTCCAATTCGAGCAGATTCAACCTGTCAGCATCAAGAGTTCATTTTTTACTCCTTTAGTTTTGTTTTGTTCTTGTCTTCACTGGATGAACTCGTGCATGAACTATTTTCTAATGCTGTTTGTTGTTTTCGTGCCCTGCAGTGCAGTTCAACTTGATTCCTGTGGGACTCAGGATAGTGGCCATCCAGAGCACCAAGACGGGGCTTTACGTCGCCATGAACAGCGAGGGCTACCTCTACACGTCGGTACGGTCAGAACCTGAGGCTTAGAAACCCGACATGTGATTTTATTAAACCCGTCCTGCCTGGAGAACCTGCTGATTTTACTCCTGCTGTTTGACATGAGCCCAGCATGAGGAACCCGGCTCCTTCTAGCAGATGTAATGTTCACATATTTCACAGGTTCCATGTGCTTGTGGAGACTTTTAAAGTCAGACTGTGTGGCAGAATTGCTCAGCTGAATATCAGGCTGAACACTTATTACCAATTTTTCATGCTGAGATCTGATAGACTTTAAATTACATCATTACATCAGCAGCAAACTGCAGTACAACATGTACTTTTATTTAAGGAACCAACTGCTCTGCACATTCAGAAACACATTTTGAGCAGTGGCACCTCCAACGGGGGGGGCAGGAGGAGCCACGGGCCCCTCGAGAAAAATACCCGCCAACCCACAGATTCATTTCCAAGCCATAGAGAGGCATACAGTCATGTTCTTCATTCAAAACACCAATGTAAAACCAAATAAATAAACAAAATTGCAATGTTTTTTTTCCCTCTACACCCCTAAATTTTTTTACTGCCCTGGTCTGACCACCTGGTCAAACTTTTCTGGGAGTGCCGCTGATTATGAGATGAGACTGACTTTTTCTACAGTCTGATTTTCTTGGGAAAATGTTGACTAAAAAGATTGTGCTGCATCTTTTTCACAACGAGGAGGATTTCACTTCCAACCCAAGGTCAGTTAGCACTAAAGTTAGCAATTCTTACCTACCTCTAAATATAAAGCAGCATGTCATAGGGCACCACATTCTCAAAGACTAACGTTGTTTGTGACATGTTGTTTACCGTCGCCTGATAACTGGAGGCATTGTTTCCACAGGTTGAAGCAGATATAAAAATATTGTAATTCTGGTTACCAGGTGTCTCAGGAACAGAGCAAATGCACAATAAACAAAGATTAAAGTGAAATGGGACGCAGCTGTCCCAGGTTCAATTCCCAAACCTTCTTCCTGCCCAATTACTAATGACCAAAAGCCACTAGTGGCAATAAATAATTTTTTTAAACAATTATAATTCATTTTTTCTCTCCCAATTACAATTTTTTTTCTCTATTTTACAATAATTATGTAAACTTTTCTTATTAAATATAGATTTCAGTTATAGTACTTTCCAGATGTTTTTTCTCCAGATGTCCTGATCCTGTCCAAACATTTTGTCACTTGAGCCAAAATAGAGTCAAAAGTCACTCACTCGCTTAATTTACAGAATTCTGTCTTTTGATCTGAATTATGATTTTCCCCCAGATTTTTGACGTCCAGTAATCCTGTGCTTCCACGCCGCGGTGCATTCATTACTGAGGTTTGAACATAAGAGATTTTCTTGATGCCAGCAAACATTTGTGTACCAAACAGGTTCCTGTTTTTCGCTCAGAGCAGAATGCGCCGCCGCTTTCTCTGAAACGGCTCAAACAAAACCTCCTCTGGGCTGTTCAGCCTCGCTGTGCAGGTGAGAAGCGATTTAACAGGTGGATTGAATCCAAATAAAAGCAGTGAGGCCGTTTTTGAAGCGAAGCGGCGCGGAGCCTCAGCGGAGGAGATCGCGTTTCTGTCACGTTCAACAACCCGAAAACGGGTGAGGAGGAACCGCGGAGATGAAAACCGTTCTCATGCTGTCAGATAAACAGAACCAGAACATCGCTCAGCTGTCGAGAACCGGGCGCAGCTTCATGCCGTCCTGCTGACTTCACACACGTTCACACTGAATTCATCTGATTCCAATCAAAGCTGGTCTTAAAATCAGCTCTGCCTTTATGGAAGCAACTTCATTTCTCACTGAAACATTTGGACAAATCAACCTTTAATTTGGGAATAAGTGGGAGAAAAAAATCCCCTGTTGAGAAATTCTTGAAAGCATTTTTGTTTTTATGCAAACCTTACAGTATTTCCAATGTGTTTCCATTTTGTACGTCCATAAAATTCTGTGAAAAATAACACAATAGCAAAAATTAGATTTTTCTTTGTCAGGCTCAAAATAGATTTTCTGTATTTCCTGGACTACGAGTCACTTTTTAAAGGGTTTTTGCTTATAGTTAGGTGTGGCTTTCATATGTTTTTTTTACTCTTTACACATTAAACGTTAATTAGGGCCTGAACTTTGAAGCACTAATTTCACTTAATTAATTAGCTGTTTTAGAAGGAGTTGAGAGCCAAATGGAAATATAAAAATGTACAAAATGTGAATTTTGCATAAAAGGACAGAGGCCCAAATGCAGCCTTGATGTAAATTTGACTTAAATTTCATATTATGTCTTCTGCATTCTTTTTATAACAACTGAAGGTAACACAGTTACTTTATTGTGTAGTAAAATGCCTGAAAAATGCATAAAATCACCACTTCAAATGTTTGAAACCGTCCAAACCTTTTCCTTTAACGAGCTCCAGAACTTGTCGAGCGTTTGTAACCTCTCCCTGCAGAAAGTGAAGTGTCGTACGAACATAAACACCCCCAGTAAACCTGCGTATTCCCGGCTGTTCTCCTGACAGAGAAGGAGGTGACCCATTTTCACTGATGGGAACAACCGCAGCAGCAGGAGAATCCTCCGAGAAAATCCCTCTGACAGCGGACAAACTGCCTGGACACTTTCTTCTCACCAACATTCAAACTCTTGTTTGTAGCCAAGAAACACATGAGAAACGCTCAGTTTGCTGCCTGAATGCATCACATGGTCTTGATCCTGCGTTCCTCTGAAGTCGGGACGTTCTGATGCGGAGATTTTGTTGGAGTAACTCCAGACCCGTGTTGGCGTTTCTGCCAGGCGGCATTAATCTTTCATGGACCTCTGTGGTGCGCCGTTCTCCCTCTGCAGCCGCACACAGATAAGGAGATAATTACAACACTTATTTAAAGGATTGGGAAATAAAACTCTCCCTCCCAGCTGGTCGGCGGCCAGCAGTGACTCACAGAAAGACAAAAAGTTCTTTTCCACCCCGTCGTTTGTCTTTATTTCAGTTGGATTGCTTGTTTGGTTTTTTTATTATTATTATTTTGTCTGAATTCCCTGAATACCTTTAATAAACTGAGACATTTCTGAGAACGTTGGTTTAACCTGATATATTTTTATATCTAAAAATGTTTATTTTTATCTTCCATTTTAAATGAGGGAAGTAATTAGAAGGCATTAATTAAGGATGTCAGGCTGTTTAATATTTGCTTTGTTTAGCTGCTGAATCAGGAAAATTAGAAAGAATCTGGATTTATCAGTTTATTTCTATCTTTTGATCTTCCATCCATTTCTTCATTTTTACTTTTCGTCTAATCTTCCGTCTTTCGTCCGTTCCTTCGTGTTACCTAACCTTTCAGCGCGTCTTTCTGCTTTTGCTGGTTCCTTCCTCCCTACCTGCTACAGTTAGCTTGTTTATGATTTACTTCCTTTGGCTGTTTCCATCTTTCCCTTTATCTTTTCTTTCCTTCCTTCTCAAGTTCTAATTTCCTTTCATCCTACCCACCTTACCTAAAATAAAAGTTTCATACTGCAGCTTTAAATAAAATTGAGAGTCCCCATGATGGTGCCTCATGTTTGCCCAGGGCACCAAGCAGGCTTGGACCGCCCCTGCTGATGTGCAAATAAGATTTGTTCTGCTAAAGCTAAACAGTTACATATATACACTAGAATAGAACAAGAAATAGCTTTAAAAATTAAGTTTTAATGTTTATTTACTTGCGGTTTTGCTTCCTGGTGCTGATTTGCCTAATATTTGAGCCTGGTTGAGAGAAACGGGCCGTCCGCCACAGACCGGATCTCAGCACCAGTATTTCAAACGGGCTGATTGTTGTCTGGAGGGAAGGAATGATGGAGAGATTGGGGTAAAAAAAGAGAGAAGTATGGGCTGACAGGACTAGACTGGGGCCGAGCGTAACGTCTCCTCTGGGAGCAACAACCACCTCCATCCTTCCTCCTCCTCCTCTTCCTCTGCCCCCCGTCTCACTTGTTCAGCTTTTGCTCGCCTGTCAGTCTGTCTTGCTCCCTGTCTGGTCATCTCTGTCTCTTGTGGCTTGTCGTCTTTCTCCTCTTTGTACCATCCGATGTTTCTTATCATCCTGCGAACCTCTTTAATTCAGAAGATGGATCCTGCATGTTCCCCTCATGAGTCCTGGGTTTGTCCTCTACGTCTGTCCGGTTCTCCTCTCTTTCTTCTCACCATGACCGTCTCACATCTGTGCTTTAGTCTGATAGCCTTGTAGCACAGCTATCAGTCTAAGTTATTTGTTACGCATTTATTCAGAATCTGAAACATTTAACTGTGATAAAATAACAAAAACAGAAGAAATTCCTGAGGGACAAAGAAATTTTCACAGCACACACAAACACAACAAACAAATTAGAATATTGTTTCTTTTTTGTTGATGTTTAAGTGATAGCATACCTAGAAAGTTGAGTGGAAGGAAAAGATATGGTAGCTCAAAAAATACAATATTGTGAAAAAGTGACAACATATGCCTAGAAATTTGAGCAGAAAGAAAAACTTTAGCTTCTCCAAAAATTAGAATATTGTGTAAAAAATTATATATACCTAGAAAATTGAGTGGACGGACGATGTGGAATTATCCAGCAACTCAAAAATAAAAATTGTGTAAAAAATGTTATATAAACCTGGGTGTAAATAATAAACATAGTAGCTTAAAACATATCAATATTATGAGGAAAAAAAGTGCTTGGCAACATATTCATAGCAATACCTGCTGTGCTAATGCAATACTTTATTAAAAAGGAAAATACTTTTCAGAAGCATGACTTTCCTGTTCTAAAAGATAAATTGATTCTTATATAACATTGTAATTTTCAGTTTTACACGAATGAACATGAAATGAATCCTTATTTTTCTGAAATGAGTGACAAACAACTGAATTGTGAAAGAAAGAGGCCGACACGTTGGCCAGCAGAGGTTAATGGAGGACTCCTGGTTTCGGCTCCATTGTTTAAAGCTGCTGGTGCTGCTTACCTGTGGGCGCCACCTGGAAAT